TTTTTTTTTTTTTTACATAAATGGAGTCACACTGGATGTTACTGTTGACCAACCTTTGCCCTTCTCTTTATACTCTTCTAGGTCCAAACCCACAGATCACCCCCAGTTCCTAAAAGGGAGGTACAGAGTCCTCCAGAGGAAGTTGGAGGGGGAAGGTGAGAACCTCTTTGTAGGCACTCCTCTGAACTCTTAGGGCAAGATCTCTGAATTTTCAAAAAGGATTTCAGGACTCTCCAGAAACAGGCCTCTTCATTACAGCATGGTTATCTCTCCCCCAGAGTCTCCCTTTCTGGAGTCTGGCTTTTTTGGTGGGGAATGTTTTCTGAGATCTCTTCTAAGGTAGTTTTCCTCCATCATTTAATACATTTCAGAATGCTGAATGAGACAAACAGCTTGGCTTCAGCTTCAGCCTCTAGACAAGCAGTGGAGTGAGTGGCTGGGGAGCAGAACCACCCTCCCTTGGCAGCCAGGGAGGGGTGGGTGCTGAGCCAGGGGACAGGCCATCTTGCTGCTCTCTAGGAGATGGGGGTAGTTTGGACTTGACTGTCTAGGTAAGGGCTTCTAGTCTTTTTTTCCATTGTCTGGTGAGTTGCCCTAGATAATGCGCTGGTGCTGCTCATGTCCTTCCTGTCCTTCCGGGTCTGTCCTTCCCTGTTCTCACTGCTGCATCCCCCTACCCCCTTGCTGAGTGTTGGCTGCTGATAGCTTAAAGAGAGTACCCTCAGACTACTGTGGATGCCTGAGAGGCTATATCTCATTCTCCTCTCGCTTCCTAGGTTGCCAGATAAAACCCAACATGCCCAGTTATATTTCAATTTCAGATAAACAGTGAGTACTTTTTTCATATAAGGTTGTCCCTTTGGGCTGGACATGGTGGCTCACACCTGTAAATCCTAGCACTCTGGGAGGCCAAAGCTGGGGTAGAGGGTGGGGTGTGTGTGGACTGCCTGAGCTCAGGAGTTTGAGATCGGCCTGAGCCAGTGCGAAACCTCCCATCTCTTAAAAAAAAATCTCCTGGCTCGGCGCCTGTGGCTCAAATGGCTAAGGCGCCAGCCACATACACCTAAGGTGGCGGGTTCAA